AGCTTTTTTTATACAAGGTTATACCTAAGTCTCAAAGACCTCTGAGGTTTCTGTCTTATTAGACATCACCAACATTTGTATCATGCCAAAGTGTTGCAACAAATATGGGATCAATACAGATCAATATCTGCACAGCATGGCTGCTAGGAGGATCAGTGGATTAACAGGATATGGCCTATGCTCTTTTCTTCCTAAAACATAACGCTTTGCCATTTGAACTCAAGGAGAATCTCTCCTGTTATCAATGGGAGGCCCATCCCATGTAATGCCCTTTTTCTGGTTCTGTTAACAATAAGCACAGATCATCTAACTGCTCTTCATATTTTAATTTAATTGAAATTTTCAGTTTATGCATGTGGAATACCACTACAGACATGCATTCTTTCATGGTTTCTGCTCTCCAATGAACCAAACAGCTTGCGCACACACCTCTCCAAATCTTCCTTTTTCTCACTCTGTAGCCCCACAAGCAACATGCTTTGAGCTCACCTTTTTACGTTCCATTTTCAGCATCTACCACTGTGCAAGTAACAGAATAGCATTTAACTAAAGAGTAAAGGAAACACATTAAAAGGGGAAAGGAAGAGTAAAGGAAGCATATAAAGAGTAAAGGAAGCATATAACGTTCACTGCTATATATGTCTCTCTTCAGAATGCAGCCTGTTCCTCCTTATATTGACTCTTTCAGCAATTAAAAAAATCCATGTGTGCATTTTTTGTTTACAGCAGCTGCAAGAAATCAAAAGAAAGTTTCTGAGGGATGAGATTTAGAGTTACCCAGAAACTGAGGGTGCTGTTTGTATTTCCAATGGGATTTTTTTTAATTGCTCTCTTCAATTTTGTCAGCATTTTGTGTATTGGGGAGGCACTTGCAAGAAAGGTATAGGATACAGAGCAAGGGAAGAAGTAGAGTAGAACATACATCTGATTGTCCTGCATGGGACGTGGATTGCTTTTTGTGATAATTTTTTTAATGATTTTTTTCTTTGGATGAAGGACTTCATATTTTATTTTCAAGTTCTTGGCTTCTATTAGACAACTGAAACATCACTTTCACTTTTTCTTCCAGATCTCCCTCACTGAAACCAATGTTCGCAAACAGTGTAAGGCAGTGGTTCTCAACTATTCTAGACTTGAGCCCCC